AGTGGGTTCCTCATTGTATCATTTTCTTATCTTTCCAGTTTGCCAACCATCTGTTCATTTTGATTGTCGGCTTGTCGTACTCAGCCCTTGCGCCTATCATCACTCCATTCGTTGCTATGTACTTTGGGTTTGGTTACGTCGTGTGGATGCATCAGACACTCAGTATTTACATGCCAGTCTACAGCTGCGGTGGAATGATGTGGCCAAGAGTCTTTAACAGGTGAAGAAAACACAACCCCTTAGTTCAGTCGCGGTATTTGGTATTTTAAATTGAAGGAAACCTGAAAATAATATTTTACTAAGATAAAAAGACCATAAAAGAACAGGGGTGGTTAAGGATGGAGAAGATTAACACGGATTGCAATCCAAGAAGTTGAAAAGTTTGGGCTAAACATTTCAAAATACGCAAACCGTGAGGTAGCTCCTTTAAACCGAAACTAGCCTATCAACATCTAATTTCTTGAAAAATCAAGTGACGAGAATTTGGAAAAGTCATCAACTACAAGATTGTCTTGATACGCCAGCAAATTCCCAGAGCTAGAAAATGTGTCTGTGGCTATCAGTGATAAGGATTAGCATTTTCGCCTTTAGCTTTGAACGAGAAACACATTATAGAATTAGTTCTCATTGCACTGTATTTTGTGTCTGGATTTCTAGCGAAGCAGCGAATTTTTCTGTAGCGCGATGGAAAGTACACCGTAGAAAGAACTGGAAGCAAAACCAAGAGAAAACTAATGTAGGTCCAAAGACTTTTAGACTTGGGTTTGAACATTACCTTTCCCTTCATAACAAAGAGGTGTGGCTCGGCTCAAATTCAATACCTATATGCAGCTAGCATGCACTAAGGATGTGTTCCTATGGGGTGATCTGTGTCAGGGTCAGTGATCCAAGATTTTTTAGATCATGATAAAGGAAAGGAACCAATGAATCCACTCTGGTCTTGGATTCACCGGCTCCTTTGATGCACCATGATCCAATGGATTTGGATCACTGATCCTGATCTAGATCACCCTAAAGGAACGCACCCTAAAACAAACGTTAACTTAAAGATATGGGAGAAATCCTTGAAACGTGAACTACTCTAAGATGATGGCCGGACTGTTACATTGATCTTTGTCTCGTCTTTGTAGGATGATTATCGCGACTGTCGTGTTTCAGTTGCTGATGTTTGGCGTGGTGGGCTTGAAGCAGTCATACGCAGCCTCCGTACTACTCCTTCCGCTTCCGGTCATCACTGTCCTGTTCTATTTCGTCATCCTGCAGCATTACATCAGACCTTCTGCGAACCTGGCGCTTAGTGCAGCCCATGGCTTGAAGGAACCTGCTCCAAACTTCATACAGGCAAGTTGAGTGTGTGTCGGACATATAGACAGACCAAAAGACGGACATTCCGCCAGACCGACTGACTGACAGACTGACAGACCAACTGACCGATAAATCGACAGATAGACAGCCAACAGACCGACCAACAGACAGACACAGACAAATCGACAGACCTACCAACCGACCGACTGACCGACAGACAGACAGATACACACACACATACACACACACAGACAACTTGGCAGAAAGCCGCTCCAACACAAGGTACATAAACACGTTTACGCAGTAATCCACGGGATGGCTATTGGATAACTAATCTGTCTATTCTATGTTCCTTCTTGATTAGGATTTAGCTAAAAGCTACACAAGGATTCAAGGCGTGCCCTTCCCAGTTCTTGAGCCTTCTACCTCTCAGAAAGGTGACTCCGCTGAATCGCTCAACCAGGGGCCTGGATCTGAACTAGAAACCAGTCTCCCGCTTACCCCTGCAGCCGAGAAGAACACGGAGGCTGTTTAGAGTACAACAGACTACAAACTGACGTCAACAATCCAGGAAAGAAGTAACGAGAAATTGTCAGAACAAAGTCAAGTGTTGTAGCTATCCATCATGGACAAATTGTTTATTGCGCGCTTCTTAACAACTTATTATTCTTTGTCAAGAAAGGTTAATTTGACAGTCTTGGGAGATACTTAGTCTGTAAAGAAAGTATGAGTTTGATTTTGTTGCACTGTTAGTTAAGTTTCATCATGTTCCAATTCTCTAATTTTTTAAAGTATTAAAGGTTAAGTTCAAGTCTTAGTGAGCGCATTGGGTTCAGCTTGAAGAGTAGTTTTGAAATTTGTCGTCATTTTGGATCATTACTCGCCTTAATTTTCCCTCCGTTCTTCTTCATAACAAAGGAGCTGCGACATAGATTGAGTACATGTGACTTCAGACTGCAAGTATGCAATTGGGGTTCGAGAGAAATTTATTGTAGTTAAGTACCCAATCCGGAAGAAATGCCAAGGAGTTGAATAAACAATCTGTAGTGTCTAGACAGTTGATATATCGAGGGTCTCACACCGCCCCCCCCCCA